TAGGTTTCACTAGAATGAACAAGAACAGGAGAAACAAATGATCTTATGCTCTCATCATGATCAAGAAATAGCTGCTGGAACTGATTCCCATAAAGAACACAACCCTTCATGTTATTTGTCATAGTATTGTCCTGCTCATCATGATCAGAATGAACAAGAACATGAGAAACAAATGATCTTATGCTCTCATCATGATCAAGAAATAGCTGCTGGAACTGATTCCCATAAAGAACACAACCCTTCATGTTCTTTGTCATAGTATTGTCCCATATCTTAATCTCTCTTAATCCATTCTTATACAATGTCAATCCAGGGACACACCAATACATCCTAATCCCGCCCCAAACTCATACCCTATTTCCTTCACTAAACTATCAACAATAGTACGTGTCCAATTATCTATGTCACAGTAGTCAAAACCAAACGGAATAACCTTTGTGGTAACCCCGATGCTTGCCCGCACAAAAGAAATAGCCACCATGTATGACCTCAACAGAGAAGTGACTGCTTAGGGGTCCTGCAAAACAAGCAAATTGACAATGTTCAAACAAGCAAAATTCAGACAGTACTAAATTCAGACAATTTCAGAGAATTTCAGACATGTCGACAAGTTATTGGACCAAAAACATTGTTTTTTACGACATCATGTGACAAAGAAAATAGCCACAATGTAATTGGACAAAAAAGCAAAGTGACAATGTTCAGACAAGCAAAATTCAGATAGGTTCATACAGTACTACATCCAGACAAATTCAGACAACCGCACACAAGCTATTGGACCAAAAGCATGGATGTATGGACCTCCACTAAGCAAATACTCCCTCAGTTCCTAAATATTTATATTTTTGGAGATCTCAAATGAACTACCACATACAGATGTATATAGACATATTTTAGAGTGTAGATTCATTCATTTTGCTCCATATGTAGTCACTTGTTGAAATCTCTAGAAAGACAAATATTTAGGAACGAAGGGAGTATATGATCTTTCACGTTAAAAAAGCACGGATTTTTTAGGGCATCCGACAAACGCATGGGCATTTGATGAACAAAAGGCCATATGATCAACACAAGGGCACCAAACACATAGTAAAGCAAGCATTTTTGGCCTATCTAACAAGACATGACCTTACCCTCGGATATCACCACAACATCCCTCTTATTTTACCTGCAACCCCCCCATCCAAGCCCTCCTGAAACCCTAGCTCTACCACTAATTCAACCATGTCTGCTAAAACCCTACCATGCAGACCCCTCGATCCGTGCCAAAAAGGGAAGAAAGAGCCCAAACCCTAGCACGCCTGCGCAATTGAATCCTACAAGTAGTCATTTCCGGAGAAAAAAATAGAGGATCAAGCAGAGAAGGTGGCGATGACGGCGACATACCGTACATGGGCGACAATGCATTAGACAGACACCGCGTGGGAGCGAGAGGGACATCACGAAGGCCCCTCCCAAACGACGCAGATGGCGGCAGCTCGGCATCGGACGAAGAGCTCATGGCGCCGTCGCCACACTCGCCCCCGCCGACGAGCTCGAGGTGTCCACCTTGGCAGTGACGAAGAGTGTAGCAGTGGCGGAGGAGAGTGAGGGGATGTGGTTCGACCAGGTGCAGGTATGTTCCGACCAGGTGAGGGGTTGTGGTTTTTTTTTCAGGCGATTTTGCAAAAAAAAACTCGACTATCTGCGTATTCCAGCGATTGCGACGAGGTGGCCCGTCAACGCCCAAGCCAATATGTAGGACAAAACCATTTTTTTTGCAAAATCTTGAAATAAATTCAGAAATAAATGTGAGCACTAGGATTTAAACCCTGGTGGACTGGGGATACCAAATTCCCTCTAACCTACAGGTTTGTCGCACAAAATCGTATATTTGAGACCATATGTGAACCCCTTGGAGGTATTTTAGAGTACGGGTACCAAACTGAGCTCCGATTCAAATTCAGATAGCGTGAGTGAATTTTTCTGTTCGAGAAGCCCCACATTTGAAGAACGTGGCCGGACCCCACCAACCATCGTCCTTTGTACCAACACTGTGAGCGGCACAGCATATTTTCTGAGGACACAAGCGAGGTATGGCCAAATTTCGTGTTTTGACCCTTTTATGAAACAAAATCGAGATCTGATCCTAGTCTGAAAAAAATTCGAAATCTGACCCTTTTGCTACCGCCAGACCCTCGGGCGGTAGGGTTGCACAGCCTACCGCCGCAGGTTCCGGCGGTAGGTGTGTCTGACGGCCGTCAATCCGTTAACGGCTGCTGACGTACCTACCGCCAAAGACCACGGCGGTAGCCCACACAAACCTACCGCCGAGTTCCCTGGCGGTAGGTTGGCATTAAACTTAACTACTTTGATTTTGTCTTCAATTTTTTTTCGCCATAAGACATAACATAAGAAACATAACATAGACATAAGAAACATAACATAAGCACAATTTTATAGACATAACATAGATTGATCACATCCACAAAAATTTGCCATTACGGACTAAGAAACAAGTACCAAATAACATAGTTTGATCACATAACATAGTACGAAGGCAACATAAGAAGTTTAACAAGTTCAACGGTCATTGACCACATAAAAGATTTCATCCATAGGTAGAAATCAAACATGACGATCATCAGCAGCCACACACATATATAGTTTAGATGATATCGATGACGATCATCATCTTCAAGCCTTGACGGGTGGTCTTCCTGATAGTAATAAGGATGGCCTGTCCAACATGAAGATTCTTGTCAACGAGGAAGCTCTTCCACCCATGTGTGCTTAAATTTGTGCGGCCGTCCGTGTCCACGCCGTACGCACAAGTAGTGACGGGGCCCGTTGCGGTAAGGCGTATTCCAGCATAGCCTTCTTCATCAGCCTCGATGCCACAACTCTCAGATAGGCTCTTTGGCAATTTCTGAATAAGAAAAACATATCAATTAATAAGTATGGATTATCTAAACTATTAACAATTACTTGGATTCTACACTAAAAACATACCATCTCATGTCGATCGATCATGGTAGTTGTCAGACGGGTCACGAATGGCGCCCCGATCAACTCAGCACGTGGCAGAAAGTTGTCCCATAGGTTGCACACCTCCTGTTCGCTCAGCCTCACTCTTTGAGCACAGATGGCTTCCTCAAGTGGGTCTTCATCTTCATAGTCCTCATCAAGTGGTGGTGGTGGCACCATGTTCCTTATATAAGCATTGATTGGATAAAGTTAATTAAACATGAATATTTGTTCTAATGCAAGCAAAACAAATATCTACAATATTCACACAATAAATCATCACATATGGTGGTGGTGGTGGCTATAAGAAAGACTAAACCTAGGGTTCATCTAGGCTCTAGGGTTCATCTAGGTTGTAGGGTTCATCTAGGTTCTAGGGTTCTAGGGTTCATCTAGGTTCTAGGGTTCATCATATCAACTAGATAGGGTTCCTCGTATTGCTATAAGAAAGACTAAACCTAGGGTTCATCAACTAGGTTTATCACATTGCAATCATCTAGGTTTAGGGTTCATCATAACAACTAGATAGGGTCCTCATATGGCTATAAGAAAGCGGAATGATTGACTCAAAGTAATTGGGGGATTGGAGGAGCTTACCTTCCTCTTTCCGTAGCCATCTCGATACGCAAAATCCGTGAATCAACGAAGAAGATCGGAGTGGGGAAGTGGAGGAGATGAGAAAATGGGCGAGAGGAAGAAGAAGGCGACTAGGTGGGTGGGGATTACGGTTTGTGGTGGGGTGGGCGCGGGCGGCTGGCTTTATAAATGCCCAGACCTTACCGCCATAGTATGTGGCGGTAGCCGGCCACGACCTACCGCCATCCGGCCCGGCGGTAGGATGCCTCCCCCCACGCCAATCTTCTGTGACCAAAAAATCGAGCAACGCAGCGGTAGGGTTGCGCCGCCTACCGCCAAGGCTCTGGGCGGTAGGGTGCTACCGCCGAGCCCCCTGGCGGTAGGCTGCGCAACCCTACCGCTGCATTGCTTGATTTTTTGGTCACAAAAGATCGGCGTGGGGGGGGAGGCACCCTACCGCCGGGCGGGATGGCGGTAGGTCGTGGCCGGCTACCGCCGCATACTATGGCGGTAGGGTGCCTTTGTGTGCAATTTTTTGCACCTAGTAACTTCTGTTGGCTTCAATTTTTGGCATACAACATTTAAACAGCATATGTATGACATATAAAGCACACAATGTATGATATATGATGCACACACCACGAATAATGCGACGAATCGGAAGGTGTTTGATTAAAACTAGTTGGAGGGATTGAAAGAGCTTACTTTTCTTTCTTCGGGGCCATCTCGATCCGCAAAATCCGTCAAGAAACGAGGAAGATCGGAGGGGGGGAGTGGAGGGGATGAGAGAGGCGACTGTGAGCAAAACTGCTCTGTTCTTCGTGGTGGGGGGCGGCTGGGTGGGGGAGAAGGGGGTGGGGGCGGCCGACCTGCTGTTTATATATGCCCACACCCTACCGCCAGGCAGGGCGGCGGTAGGTTCAGACAACCTACCGCCAGGCAGGGCGGCGGTAGGGTGTGATGGAGGGGGAACAGCGGCAGTTATCGTTGCTGACGTGGAAAAGTTTGCTACCACCGCAGGGCTCGGCGGTAGGCTATACGATCCTACCGTCGGGCCTCTCGGCGGTAGGCAAAAGGGTTAAATCCCGAAATATTTATAGATTGGGGTCAGATCTCGATTTGGTTTTTCAAAAGGGTCAAAACACGAAATTTTGCCGCGAGGTATATACATCTAGCCGCAAAAACTCGGAGGCCCGCAAACAAGTTTCGCTCGCCGGGCGCCCCCCACCCGTCATGTTCGGCCCCCACGAGGTTCGTCTGCTCCCCGCGAAAGTCTTATCAGTTACGCCTGCCCTCGACCCAATCCACAGGAAAGGAGACAACACAAAGCCGACCACGCGCCACGAGCGCACGAGCACGATTCGTCCGGTGCGTCGCGCGCCTGCTTCCATCTCCGCGGCCGTGCTGACTCCGCCTCCATGGCGTCCGTCTACACCGCGCCCCGCGCGCCGCTGGCCGCCACGGCCGCCTCCTTCCCCTCCTCGTCCTCGTCCTCGCGGCAGCTGGACCCCAACCCTAGCCGATTCCTCGCTGCGCACCGCGGCCAGCGGCTCCTCCGCGTCCGCCGCCTGGCGGGCGCGGCGCCAACTCGCCGCGCCTCCGACGCCGCCCCGGTGTTCCGGTGCAGCGCGCGCAGCCCCGGCGCGGACCCCGGCGGCGGCCGACGCCGAGGCTGGGACGCTCTCTTCCACGACGCCTTCCAGGGCGCCGTGCGGAGGTGGAGCGAGTACGTCGGGAATTACTGGCCCTCGGCACACCCCTCGAAGGAGGCGGGTCTCGCGACGGGAGCGGAGAGTTCTCACGAACTGGAGGAGCGAGGGCAAGGAGTGGAGGAAGACGGTGAGGAGGTGGACGTGGTGCAGGAAGAAGGGAAGTGGAGCTGGGAGAGGTGGAAGCAGCACTTCGCCCTCATCCAGGAGAGCGAGCGCCTTGTTGATGAACTGCAGGTTGTTTTTTCTCACTGATCAGTGACTACTTGTGAATATGGATGAGGCTTGCACAAAACGCACCGTTATTGATTTTTCTCACTGATCAGTGACTACTTGTGAATATGGATGAGGCTTGCACAAAACGCACCGTTATTGATTTTTCTCACTGATCAGTGACTACTTGTGAATATGGATGAGGCTTGCACAAAACGCACCGTTATTGATTTTTCATTAACATGTGGTTACGAACATGGAGCGTTTACAAATGTCTCCATGGACCGTGCCCAAATTCCACATTTCCCCTTTCTTCTGCCAGACCATCTATACTTGCCTTATCGTAGGAACTAGTAGCATGAAGGAGTCAGGTTCTGAAGAAATTTACGTAATGCGGATACTCGATAAGCTTAATTGATGGCGATTAACTGTTCCGAGGAAAGTTACTCCTTAGGGAGCTGAAGCACTACTGAAGCCAGGCTGAAACTTAAACTGGCTTCTTTGGAGCGACGCATTTTTTTCTCTCTAGTATCAATGTGAATTACTCCCTCCGTCCCATAATATAAGACGTTTTTTGACACTACACTAGTGTCAAAAAACGTCTTACATTATGGAACGGAGGGAGTAGTTGCCAAAATTCTTTCGTGTGTTGAAATTACTAATGTTGTGTTAGATCAATCCATTGATGGTAGGCTATATCTTGGGCTTAGCACCATAACATGTTCCATTTATGGCCTATGCCATCTGTTACCATGCCAACAACATGTGGGAGATACCGTGTCAACATTTGTATTGAAGGTTTGCAATGCGTATACGATTTTGTTAATAGGCTCAGTGGTCTAATAGATTCACAAAGCATGCATCATACCGTTGCCTAATGGTCTAATTGATTCACAAAGCACGCATCATACCGTTGATAGGCCTAATGGTCTAATAGATTAACAAAGCATGCATCATACCGTTGATAAGCTCAGTGATCTAATAGATTTACAAAACATGCATCATACCGTGGTTTAGACTGATAGAACACCTATGCTCTTATTGTAGAGCTGGGACTACAAGTTACGGTAGAAGCAATGATCATATATGAGTTACAGTTTGGACTACCTTTCTGAAATCACACCACTAAGCTTCATGGCAACATAAAGAAGAGCCAGGAGCTTATTTGCAATTTTATATGATGTTCGATGTTTTTAAAATTGTTTTTCATTAGGTGTGCCAGTTTTTTTGTATCTGGAGTTGTTTGGAACCATTGAGTGCTGGTTGTGTCATATCTGTATATGACTAATTAAAAAATGTATGGGCAATATTGGGCGTAACTTAATTCTTTGCGCATTGCTGATATACCATGTGCATATTGTGTTTTTTGTCAAGATATTTTTCCTCTTAATCGTTTACTTCTACCAAATTGCAAATTTCCTGATGGCAGTGTATTGTGTTTCAGCTACAACTCCGCACTGCTGTGTGTAGAGAAGACTATAGGAGTGCCCACAAACTGAAGTTAGCTATTGCTGCTACATCAAGAAATGATACTGTCGGCAGAGCAATATCTGAGTTACATGTAAGAAATCAGAAATATCTGCTCTTTTGTCTGTGTATAGTTAATGATAAATGGCACCTTTGATCATTTTAGTTCGCTTGCGATGTCTGTTTCCTTTATTATTACTTTAAAATATCCTAGTTAGATGCCTGTCAATAGCTAGTGAAATAGTCCTATGCTACATGGGGATGAATGTCTGGCATGTTTACTGCTTTGGATGGAAACAGTAGCTAATAACTTATCTAATAACTGAGATAACCCAATTTATGGGGGCCATCAAGGCATACTCTCACCGAAAATTTCTCTCACCTATTGTATTTACATTCCCCATCTTAATCAGCAATATCAGACCATGTCAGGTGTTGAAATGCCACTGGTAACAGTGACTAACTTTCACCAGTCACTGTTTCATATCAGTGTTGTTACAACTGGATGTGACAGGCTGTTCAATTTTGTAACTTGTGCTATTGGGCCGTTATGAACCAGCGGCAACAAGGCTGAGCAGGAATTCTTTCACACAGCTGTCTAGAAATTGGCAACTGTTGCATCTGCTTGGAGGAATAAATTGTTGGATAATGAAACGAAAGATGAAGTGATGGTGGTTTGAGCCCATGTCCTGAACAATGGAGCAATTGCAAACTTGCCTTCTGGGTTTTGTGCATAACTTCAATTCATCATGTACTAGTTCTGCTCCGGTGATCCAACCAGGGACCATGAACTGGGAGCCTGACCGAGCCATCTATATGTCCAGTTTCCATAACTATGCTGTAGATAAGAGGAACCAATCTGAATGCTTTGAAGTAGAGTAACTGATTTGATTCATGATACCAGGAGTAGATTGATAGTATGATATTAATTTGATAATTGAGCACCGTTTATCTAATGTTTTAACTCTTACAGAGGGCCATAGAAGAGGAGCGCTATGTGGATGCAGCTTATATTAGAGACCACGCTGGTGCAGGACTGGTTAGTAACACAAAGGCTCAACAGTCTGTTAATTTTTGTGTTGTTAGACTCTATGGCTACAAATTAGCAACTATGAAATATGTAACATGCAGTATCACATACGGAGTACCATTTTAGTTAAGTCTGGATTAAGCCCAAGTTAAGCTGAAGAGGCATGGTATAGTATGACATCACATGCCCACTAGCTATAAACACATGCCACATATCAGACAGTTGCCTAGACCATGAGCAAAACACCATGCATTCTTGAACAAAGGGATTAAAAGAGGGTAATCATGTTATCCATCTTAGTTAGTACCCCCATTGTGGCGTACCCCCATTGTGGCTTTTCTAGTAGATTCTACTGTTAGCACTGTGCTTTATGCATGGCGATTATGTCCCACAAGGCCATAACTGTAGCCTAGCAGCTTAAAGTTCAGGCAGGATAAAGTCATGTGGCAGGCTACCAACTAATAAGCTCGAATCTCTTGTTTTGGAAACTGGAATGCACATGAGAAGAGAAGAAGAGTATTTGCACGTGTTATAAAAATATAGCCTTGTAAAATGGCCCAACTTTCTGTTAGCCCTTGTACTCTAGTTTATGGATATCCTTTCTACTTTTTGTATCTTTTTCACATGTGCAAAAGAATGCCATTACCTGATCCTTTAGAGCATATGCAGTTGGGATGGTGGTCTGGGATTTCTGGAAGTTTGTCTGATCCATATGGTCTTATAATCCGTATAAGCGCTGAACATGGTCGATACGTGGCAAAAAGTTATGATATCAGGTATTGCCTTTTCTGGTTATGTATTATTGTCACTCAAAAGTTCATGTTTGGTATGTCGAAACTACAAAGTTTGCTTGTCCTATATTGCAAGTTGTGTATATTTTCTTTGATCAATCATTTTCTAGGTGCACTTTCGATACATGCGTCATGTTTATGGATGACTTGAGTTCTTAGCTTTGTTATTACTATTAATGTTGTTTTGAGAAAGAGATGGAAAAGAAAATCCCAGTGATAGGGTGGGTTAGCTACTCCAGGGTGTTCACTCTGAAGGCACCTATGCCATTACAGAATGACTGCATGTTAGTGGGAATTTTGGTCGTGAGTGTTACTACTAGAGAAATGAGACCAAATTAGGAGTGGAGTATGCTTGTTTCTGATTGAATTAATGTGTTAAGATGTTGAGGTGATAGAAAACATGGTAGTGAAATCACTCAAATCAGTAAGCTTATGGTGAAGAAACTGGGTTAAATCGTGATTTTCCATTGATGAAACAGAACTTGGATTCTTAAGAATGACATTGTTATTTTACCACATGAAAGAAACAGCAATATCCATTAGTTCTCTGGGTCCCACCAGGGTGGGACCCTCTGGGGCAATAAAGAAATGAATAAATATTCATCATATTATTATGGAATGGGCTTTCCATGAAATGAATCAGTATCACATGTGTTTTATTTGCTAAAATAGTCTTAGGTTTTAACTCTCTCTCGCACATGTTCAGGCAGCTGGCTTCAGATGGCCATGGTTACCCTATATTCGAAATTTATTTTGCAGAGGCAAATGGAGGATACAACCTGCAGGTATGCTGACTGACACTTCAAAGCGAGTAAAATTAATAATCAACAGGAAAAAATTTTCTCATTCCCACTCATCACAAATTGCATAAGTAGAATGCCAAGTTACCGTGTTTGCTCATGCTCATGTAAACTCACCATTGCATCCTTTGTCTTTTGATATGACAATATCATTATAGAGTATCATGATGCCAGTACTGATAGACATTATAATTTTTTATATGCATCTTCGAGTTATGTAGTTGTAGTCCATCCAAGCACTGGTATTTTTCTGATGCACATGAAATACCATTTTTCGACTTCCATAGATATTGTTATATGGTTGCAAGGCTTTTTATATGCATCCTTTATAAGTTTGAGTTAATGGCCTTTTCAGCGTAGCTGCTTATTAATTTTCTTATGGCCACTAGTCCATACATGTTGATATTGAACTTTGGTATTTATATGGTATCTGGCAAGTGTAGCTGTCCTGTGCTATGACAATATTCCTAGACCTGATCTGACCTAGTTTTGGTATAAAACTGTAAGCTTACAACAATTGCTATCTAACAATTTGCGAGCCTTAGTTTTTGTAGTCATGCTCATTTTCTAACAAAATAAAGCTTTTATTCCAGGCAGTGCATCTGAAACCAGATGTCAGTGATTCAGACCAGTTGCGAAATATGTTGAGTGGAAAACTAGATTTCAACAATATAAACATATCTAGCAGTTCCTTAGGCGCTAAACACGAGGAACACGATGAAGGCATAAACATGGACGATCAAAATAGCGATGATAGTGATGTTGCTGCTGGTCCAGCAGGTTTGAAAAACTTGTCAAATGATTCAACTCCAATTCCCAGGATCAAAATATTGAAGGTAGCGCCTATGGAAAACATCAACCAGGACTATATAATTAAAATATTTGACCAGATTTCAGAGGAAGATGATGACAATGATGAAGCTGATATCGGAAATGAATCTTCACAAGATATTGGTGATGAAGATAACAATGAAGAAGCAGGAACAATTTCTGCAGAAGAGAATAATGACGAGTCTGGTGAGGAAAGTGATATTGAAGCATTGTTATCGATTGGAATTGAAGTTGACAATGATAAGGATTTTGCTTCGCAGTCCTCACCTAGAACTTTTGAACGCATGCCAGCTAAATTAGACAAGAGAGACCGCTTTTCATTTACCTTCTATACTGAACAATCCAGTAACAAGCCAGCTGCAGAAAAGGCTCAACACATTCCAAGGAAACGAGTTGGCTTCCGTACCACTGAGCAGGATGGTGATCTCAAGTTTGATCGTGTAAAGTTGTCTGGGGGCAATAGGAAACTGCCGGTAAATATTGCAACGCTGAGCTGTTTTGCAATAGCTTTGGAACAAAGAACCTACTATTTACCATGGACTTTCTATGCTATTTAAGTTTTTCTTTAAATGTTGCTAATCTGCACAAACTGGTAAAACATCAAACTGTGCTTTTTATAAATTTCTAGCAAATTGGTGAACTACATTTTGTAAAATGCACCACCTTTTGTCTTGATGATGAAGTGCATCGATTCAAAAAATAAATAAATCTGCACAATACATATAACATCTGCCTTTTGAAGTCAGCTATTGGTTGTTAAGTAAAGTAGTTATCTCTGTCGAGCACCTTTTGACATGAACACACTATGAATTGTTTTTGTACGGCTTTTGTTTTTTTCCTCAAAGTATTTGAAGACAAACATATCGACTAATTCATTAAGCCCTAAAATATATATTTATACTGGGCATGTATTTTCTAATAGCGTTCCCAAGTCACATTAAGAAAGATTTTTTTTTCACCTCAGCTTATCTGCTGCAGATACTACAACTTGGTATTAAGCAACTTAATAATAAAGTTCAACCAAAACTATATGGAGTTACCCACTTCAGCCGTATTCAGATGCCCATCTCTTCAGATCCTCTTAGTGGTATGTTCCTAATCATTTCTTCAACTTAGCTTTTCATGATATCATTATCTGCCGTTTCTCTTTTACTGGTATTGGCTGAAAAGGTACTTCTTGGCAGGTCTATATGAGACTGCATCTGGGTTTGACTCAGAAGTTCTTAGTTTACAACGGAAATTCGGTCAATGGCAGGAGGATGATTCATCTGAGGAGCACTCGGATCTTAAGTTTTATGAGTATGTCGAAGCTGCAAAATTGACTGGGGACAATCTTGTGCCAGCGGGTCAGGTATTATGCTTTGATTTATGTCCTTCCCATTTGCAATGGAAATGCATTATTTTTTGGGTACATTGATGTTTAATTTTCGCATTTACTAGTTCTCTCTGGTAAGAAGTGTGGGTTTTCATGCATTGCACATTCTTGGATAATTGTGGAATACCTTTTGTTTTACAGAACATTCTTAGGGGTACCATACTCAATATTTGGAGTTGCACACCCATACTCTGAATTTTTCATGTCGAATCCCCTTGCTATGTTTCTTAGTTGCATTGTGGGACCTCTCATATTTATGTGGTCATGTAGAGTAATTGAGAGTTTGACTAGAGCTGATTAAGACACCTTAATTCCTGCTGATGTCATCCTTGCTCAAATTATTCTGATCTTGGAGATGGTTATTTCAGTTTTACGATGATGCATATTTGATGATGTTGAAATAGTTATGCAATATTTGACTGATAAGCACTGATAATAATTGAGTATTGCCACACATAATAAAATGATCTACACAAATTCAAATTAAGTGCTGGCGTGGATATTACAGCATGGAGGTTGTAGAAGTCGACATATGGTAGTTAATTTTCTTAGCAATCAATATATGTCCACTCGTAAGTAGATATTCTATTTTCTTCTGTAATGATACCATTACTAACTCAATCCTATTTGATCTTATTTGCATCCCAGGTTGTCTTCCGTGCAAAAGTTGGCAAACACTATCAGCTTCCTCATAAGGGGGTCATCCCTAGAGAACTTGGAGTGGTATTTTCTGTGAGAGGATAATGCTTTTACCTTTTCATCATCAAACTGCTCATCTTATGTTACGCTATGACACAGGTTGCTAGGTATAAGGGGCAAAGGAGAATTGCAGATGCTGGTTTCAAAAATCCTCGATGGGTTGACGGCGAGCTTTTGATACTAGATGGAAAGGTGAAATCATTCATACAAAGTACATATTTGTTTGCATATTATTATCCATTACTTGTTTTGAACAGATTTCCTTTCTGCGATTTGTAGTTCATCAGAGATGGTCCTGTGATAGCTTTCTTCTACTGGACATCAAATCTCCATCTTTTTGAATTCTTTAGGCGGTTGAGTCTTCCTGACTAGTTTCATTTGAAGAGTCGCACTTCAAGGTGAAGTGAATTTCATCTCATCTTGGTTTACTATACAATTACCATTGTAAATTAATGATAACGATCATGTCCTTTACTGTTGCATCTTGTTGCACTTGCTCAATATTGTTAATTGTTCATTCAAAAGTGGTTTGTGTTGGCTTTGACGATCTTATGCGTGTAAATTACTTTTCATTCTAAATGTGGCGTAATCTTTGTGTGAGTCAATTAGTATTAAATTGGACAAAATCTTATCAGCTGAATGTCTTTGTGAAGGCAAATTGTGCTGAGTCATAGGGTAAAACACAGAGCCAAAGCCAAAACAAGTGCATAAAATTTTTATGCCTATTTGGCTAAGATAAATATAACTGCTTTTTGAGTGAGTTGCTATTGAAGCTTACTTCTTTATAGGCAGCCACCATGATTTTACTATGGCCTCCTTGCTTTTAGTCAAGGCTGTGTTTGGTTGTTTTCGCTTGTTTTGAGAAAAAGGGTATTTGGTCTATTCTGGTTGGTCTGAGCATTGAAGATTGATAGATAGCTCAGCGAAAACATGATTATTGTATGGTGTTGCGCTTGTCTTTTTTGCTTTGTGAAGAATAAATTACTTTAGCTGTTACCTGAGAATCCGATCATGTTTGATCCTTATTTTAGCACAAGTACAGGTTCTTAAATAGAGAGATGTGCTGGCAGACTGATGTTGCTGATAGTTGAATGCACTCCACGTAACGTTGTCAGCAGAGTCAGCCCTTTAGGTGCTTGCCTGGTGATGGAATGGGGCCTTGCTAGCCCATTATGCTTATATAAGTAGCTGCTGTGGCATTGATTACACAGTGTTCGACTAGCTCTTCTTGACTGGTTGGTGCTTGTTGGAGGAACTGTCTAGCTGTGCCTTCAGTCCAAGAATCGTTGTGTTCCCAGAGACCACATGATCACAAGCTTTCAGTCAGTTGCCATCTGACGGGAAGGACACTCCGAAAAGACTACCTGGGAGGTCCTTTGTACAGAATCAATTGTCCGGTTGATCTGTGGGAACCCAAGAGGCCATTGCGTATGTTCTTTGTTATTCAAATCACTGATACAAGAAAGTACCCAGCAGTGAAGGGTGATCACGGTTTCTTGTAACTTCTTGGGAGCCTTGAGAGTTGAGACTTGATTAGTTGTTTCTGTTTTCACCAGCAACTTGGGTGACTAATGAGCCTTCAGAGCCCATTAGTTGACATCATTAAGCACCTGCTTTGCCATATATCTGTGTGATATCTGCAATTTGGATTCGCCACAACTAGAAATACTTGGTGATATTGGATTGCGTATGTTCTGTTTTTGTCCTTGTCTGCCTCAAGAGGCCATTTCTGCTTAATTTTACGTTTATTTGACGTCTTCATACAGCAGAAGACTGAATATTGTATTTGTTATCAGGACATTCTGCAATCACACATGCTGATGTACAGTTTACGGAGGTAATGTACATAGTTTGCCTTTGGAGCAAATTGGGCTTTCGCAGAGCATCACATTTTCCATATACGGAGATCGTGGCGGAGATGGATGGCCCCACATTATGATGGATGAGAGGTTGAAGAAATTAATGACCAGAGAAATAGCTCAAATAGCCCACTGCCAACTTGAATGGTGAGCATTTCTCATTCCACTTCTCTCCGCTGACCCACCCAATTTAGGACTTGAGGCCAAAGACTTGCTGCATTAGAAAGAGCCAACTTATTTTGACCAGTCGAATTGAAACACTTTTAAGAAGGAAGTGATGAGTGGGTTTTCAGTGTTTTCTTCCTCTTGACATTCTTCATACAGGACCCTTTTTGTGAAATATAAGCAACAATTGTATGCAGCATGATGAAATAATTTTGTCATGGTGTAACTAAGGTCACTATTGGTTCCAGAAAAGTGGAGCGGAGCACTAAACTGGTGTATATGTATAAAGCTGAGTGCCCACGTATTCAATTATGTTACCTACGTGCATATCGCAAGCTAGCATTTCCCACGTTACTCTTCTCCAGCATGCTGTTGATGATAGTTTTGACTCGTTTGGTTGCCCGCAACGATTTTGCCTGTATTGTATGTGCATATCTTAGTTGGGTCTGGTTGAGAAAAAAACAGAAAAAAACATCATCTACACTTTGTTTGGTTGCCCGCATCTAGGCGAGCAGTTTTGACATGGCGTTTGGTGTTCACCGGGTTGATGCAACTACACGGTGTTTGGTTGCATACATGCAATAAGGTGTGGTTCCATTGTACTCTATATGGTGAGCTTACCAGCTACACCTTGTACACGATCACACCGATCACATCAATAAAACAACACTGCAATCGCGATGAATTGGATGAATTCTTCAACCCAAATTGTCAATCCGACTTGGCAACTTCACCACTGGGATGTCTGCTTGAGCATGACCTTGGAGGAAGCATCCTTTGCTGCCTGCCTTCTCTTAAACCTTCAAGCAACATGCAATGGAGCATGCAACATAAGAAAGCATGCGTGATCATACGGTATAACAAGTTCATCTTTTCATTACTATGGTGTTATCCTACCACCACATCCACAAGAGGGTATAATCCTACCACCGCAAGCTCGCCATCAAACTGAAGGGTTGGTATATACCACCTCCTTAAAATATAGGGATAAGTATATTTTTCGTCCCTCAATTCTTTCAAAAGTATAGAAATAGTCCCTCAACTTCAAAACCAGCAAAACCTAGTCCCTCAACTTCTCGAACCGGATAAGCTTAGTCCCTTGTACTAGAAGTGGGTTTACATATAGTTTTGACCAAAACTTGACATGTCATCCGGGTTTGACCGCCATGCCACCATCCAAGTCACAAAAGTGACTCCTAATTCCCACCTCACTTCCTCTCTCCCGCACTCTCTCGTTCCCCCTTCTCACAGCAATCATAGAGAGAAGAGCACGGAGAGTACCCACAACACCATACACTTGGGCATTTACACAAACACCTGTCGGGCACAGCAAGGAAAGTGTGGTGTCAACAACTCTTCCGAGTTCTAGCTTCTGGCTCGCCGGAGAGCAGAGAAGCAGCACTTCGGCCTCATGATTCCATAACCGCCATCCTCGTTGGTGCAGCCGACGCCCCAGGCATGCACATGGCGGCCGTACGCACGAACACAGCAAGCACGCCGGCAACACATCTAGCTAGGTGCACAAACAAGAAAGCATGTTGCCAGCCTAGCTAGTCAGCCACACGCAAATGCTCGGCGCCTCGGCCAACCTCAGCTAGCCGGCGCCCTGCCCCGATCGAGCGCTCATGCAGCACCAGGCTGGCAACGCCCCCGTGCGCCCTGGTCGGTGTCGCCGCCGCTTTGGCCTTCCCGCGCCCTGGAGGCGGTCACATCGCCATGCAGCACAGGCCCGACGCAGCTCACGCTGGGCGCCATGGTGGGCTCTCGCTCAGTCAATGATTTGTGCCATCGCGCATGATTTGTGCGGCCGCGCCGGGTCACGCCGGGTGCCCTCGGTTTGACCGCCGTCATGTACGATATGAGCCACTGCTCCAGGCCAGGGGAAGGCATCCATTGGGTAGGGCGAGGACGCACCAGTCAGTGTCGGCATCCATGGGCGTGCTGACCGCTCCCTCGCCTCGCAGGCATCAGCGAGGTTGAGTTCGAGTGGGAGAGCTCCATGGCCACGGACCACGGGAGCTTCTCGGCCTACTGTGGGAGTTGAGGGTGGAAGAGAGAGAGAGGAGAGAGGAAGAAGATGAAGTTGAGACAGACGATGATGTGGCAGGTCAACAGTCAAAACCATGCCATGTCAGCCCAAAACAACCCAAAGCAACTCCAGGGACTAAAAATATCCGGTTTCAACAATTTAGGGACTAAGTTTTTCTGGTTTTAAAGTCGAGGGATCATTTCTATACTTTCGAAAGAATTGAGAGACGAAAAATATACTTTTCCCTAAAATATATAGACCATTAATGGTTTTCAAGCCCTATCTATCACAAAATATTTGTCGTCATTGTCGTCACCGTAGAGGATCATGCATGCACTCACCACCATCAGAGACAACACTACTAGTAGTGCTTATCCAGCCATGTTCTGAGCAAGAGCACCCTATGGGCGTCCGCAATGGCAACAAACCCAACACCATGAGTCCTGTTGTCCAGCAGGTGGCTCAAGCAGCCATCGTCTCTGGGCTAAAGCCACCTTGGTCCATGACGACAGTGTAGAGGTCAGGGTTTTCAAGCCCTATCTATCACAAAATATTCGTCGTCATTGTCGTCACCGTAGAGGGTCATGCATGCACTCACCACCATCAGAAACAACACTAGTAGTAGTGCTTACCCAGTCATGTCCTGAGCAAGAGCACCCTATGGGCGTCTGCAGTGGCAACAAACCTAACACCATGAGCCCTGTTGTCCAGCAGGTGGCTCAAAGCAACCATCGCCTCTGGGCTGAAGCCACCTTGGTCCATGGCGACAGTGTAGAGGTCAGGGTGGACGTCGATTGACTTGCTCTTCCTTCTGGCGGTTGCCACCTCCTTGACGGACTCAGTCATGCTGCTGAAGATGCTCAACTCGTCCTCTACCAAGCTGCCCCTCTTCCTCTTCCTATCAAGCACATGAACATGCTCAAAACCCTCATCAGGACGATGGTCTCTGACTCATGGGTGTCTGGATAGTCAGGCATGGGCGAACCGAGTGGCTCACCGGAGCCCATGGCATGCTTGTCGGTTGCCAACCCAAAGGAGAAAATGTGTTGCATCTGAGTGTAGTTCTGGATGGGTGTTTTGAGGAACTCTACGTCCTTGGGGTGGTCCTAAGAAAGAAACAAGTCGTGGTTAGTTCTGACATCACAATGGTTGACATGTTTAAACAAGGGGTATGTGAAACGATCGAGCAGGTGGTCTGCTCTCATGAGGCGCTGCTAAGGTCTCTGATTTTGGATACTTGGATTCATCTAGCTCTCCAATTCCTGGGGTGGTTGTAGACCTAGGTGATGGTCACCTTCTGGCCACAGAACTCGAATACT